CATTAATTAAAGCTTCAATTTACACAAAAAAAAAAAAAAACCATAAAAGTATTCTACAATGAAATATTCGCAATTAACTCAGAAAGTCGCTTACATTGATACTCTTCATTACAAATTACATGAAGTGACCATTCAAGGAGCAGTGATAATTCAAAAGCTATTAACTTTACAAAAATGTGATTGCTCATAATAGTGTTTGCACTTCCATTTATCATCTCAAATAAAATAGAAGAGTAACTTAAAACTAGATATTTCAGAAATTTCGACAAACAACAAGGAAAAGTCTTTTACTTTAAAATACGATGGATTCCACAAATTCATCAGCAATTGCTAAAAAACACAGATAAAATATTCAGATTGACTCATATTCATAAAGAAATCATCAATACAATTCAATCAATGCGCTTAAATAAGGAATTATCTCAAATTTCAAGGTACCCAAACTAAATTCATCAAGATTCCCAATAAACATATCAAAACACTAAAAGGTTAAAAAAAAAAAAAAAAGGACTTTCAAAGCATCAGATCATTAAGAATAAAAGATTCCATATTTAGAGAATCGGAGCAAAATATGCATCATATTTCATTGAATACACATGAAATATGTAACAAGACTCTGTATATCCACCCACAAAACAAACAAACCAAATGGAAGACCTTAACAACCCATAGCAAACAGTGAAACCCTCAATTGAGAAAACAATATGGAATATTCAGCTAAGAATTGATAGAATCCACATCAATTTCTCAGTCAAAGCCCGGAGTTCCACCTACGAACAAATATATAGAAATAAAAAAAGATAAATATACTAGAAAAATCATTCAAACTCTAAAAGTTCCAACTTTTGTGATTCAGAAGCAAAAGTCCCCTGTTTTCATAGTACACATCACCTAAAACCCAAAATCCATGAAAATCCACCAAAAACCTAAATGCCCAACTGCATGCATTTAGGTACTTGGCTAATTTAAGTTACTAAAATTCAAAAAGTCACTAAAACAAAGGTCTAATTTGGCAGGTTCCAAAGGGGTCAACAATTCTCCTGGTGCGAGTTCTAGAGCAAACACCCCAACTCTAAAAGCGTTATAGGGGTACTTTGGGTATATAGATATGTCTCTTGGGCATTGTTATTTGAGATAATCCATACAGGTCTTTATGTGTTTTTTGGGCATGATTTAAAACCTAAGAATTTCTAGATCGTCGATCCATATGGGAATTGGTGGGGATGGAGTGTGGTCCCTAAAACCGCTTGTACTATTTAATGTTTTTTTATGTCCTTTCAAAAAATGATTCTCACCCTATAAACCCTTATTTTAACTTTTTCTTTCTATTTAAGCATTTTTTGATATTTTTTGGATAACTTATCAAATCCGATTCAGACCTTATCTTGATCGCCATCCAATGATTTGACACGGATCTTTAGGTGAACGATCCACCCCAGCAATCCAAATTTTGAAACTTTGGCTTTTAGCTCAAAGAAACATTTATGAAGAGAGAGCCATCCTATGCCTTTTGGTGTAGTTATAGTGAAGCCACTTATGATTTTGCTCTTGGATGTATTTACATATGTGATGAACCAAATCTTTATATTCCTCTATTACATTTTTTATTCTACTCATTTTTTTTTGTTCACTATTCGTGATTGTGTTTCTCGGGTCTGCTAGGTTTTTAGGGTTTTTCAGAATAAACTGATATCTATTATAGTTAAAATCAGATAGCATAAGTCAGAAACTGTTTCTCTAAAAGTAAACTAAACAAAGAGGCAGTTGGGAGATGCTATGGCGTTTAAAGGGCCATTGCACAGCTTTAGATACCTCCAGTTATGCTCAAAATAGCCCAAAGTACCCTCCTTGATATTGAGTGAAGCCTTCATCAATGGAGATGATATTGAGTGAAACTACGGGTGGCAACTGATCGGGTCGGGTCTGGGTCAAGAGGACCCAAACACATACCAAAAATTTATATTATGGGATATGGACCCGGACCCAACCTGCTCGAAGTCATTGGACTCGGACCCAGACCCTATCGAACCCAATCCAAAAATAAAATTATCTAAATATTTAAATATATTTCATAAATTTGTTAAATATATACTTGTGTTATTTAAAGCTAAAAATATATAGTCATATTTATTTAAATATTTCAATATCATATATAAAATTCGAGAAAACTTAGGTGTGGCTCCAATAAGCGATAAGATGAGAGAAAGTAATTGGCTGGCCATGTACAGAGACCCAATATAATATTTGTTAGGAGGTGCAAATTAGTTTAAGTGGAATATCCAAAAAAGCAAGGGGTAGGTCCAAAAGGACATGGTTGAAGCAATGAGAAAAGATATGAGAACTTGTAGCCTCACTGAAGGTCATATCCTTAATAGAGTAGAATGACAAACCAGGATTCAAGTAGCCGACCTCAAATAGTTGAGAAAAGACTGATGATTATGATGATGTTATTAAATATTATTTAAATATCAACACTATTCAAGTCGGGTTTGTGTCAGGTCTACATGGGCCTGACTCGAACTCAAATAGTATTCGGTCCAAGATTTGGACCTAGACCTAACCTCCTCGGCCCAATTTTTGAACCCATACCTAGACCTGGTTAGGGTCCACTTGTCGATCCCGAAGTCGGGTCCAAGTCCATTGTCACTCTTAGGTGACACCAAGAAGACATGGTTTTCTATTAGGCTGCGCTTTTTCTGAAAGATTTTTTTAAATTTAGCAAAAGTTCCGCGTTTGACGCATGATGTCATCTAAAATTTCATAAAGTAATCTTCCAACCAAAGTTCTCATTTTTTTGTTAAAATATGAAAGTTTAAGTTTTTAGGGTAGGAACTTAATCTTTCATAACGTTTTTGTTTATCACTATTCACTATACAAAATATAAATACATAATATAAGTATTATTAATTTGATATAATATAATATGATATAGTATTACTATAACATAATATAATATAATATAATATAATATAATACAATATAATATAATATAATATAATATAGTATATATATATAATATTATGTATAATGTATATTTTATATTATTATATTACAAAAAATATAAAAATATTTAATAAGTATATATTATATTAAATACATATTTATTATATAATATTTATATTAAATACTATAAATAATATGTTTATTATATTATAATATATAAATATCTTATATCATATTATATATGAATATTTG